AAGGCAGCTCAGATCAGGAGCCCAGTCTTGAGGTATGTGCACAAGGCACTTGCCAACACCTTCTTTGCAAGGAAGGCAACCGGGACAATCAACGAGGGGGAACTCAAGTTTCTTGACATGGGAATCAAGCCCTTCTCTCACGCACAAGCGATGGCAAGAGGATCAGGGGAGATAGATTCTGACACAGGGAACTTGATGCCTTTCCTTGACCACCTCCTCACCTACAAGATCACAGCTTACAACACTAGGCACCAAAGAGGAAGAAAGCTTAGTGTTGGAGGGCTCATCACACCTATCTTGTGTGCTGCTGGAGTAAACCCAACTGATAAGAGAGCTACTGAACCAGGTTGGATGGACATCAAGTTTTGCAAGACCAACCTCCTCATTGAGCACAAGGAGTTGGATGGGAGGTTCCAATTCAAGTTCACACATCCATTGGCTGGACCCTCCAAGCTTCTCCCAACCCTGAGCTCACCACAGTTCAGGGGTGAGAACATTGACTTCAGACCCCCTGTGTACACTTAGTTGGGCATGAAGGATGATTTGCGAGAAGAGGAGCCTGAGCTCGATCGAGCTGAGGATCAGCTGAGTCGAGCTGAGGATCGAGCTGATCAGCCAGGAAGTGCGATTGGGTGAGCCTGAGTGCTACTACTTTGAGGAGTATGAGGCTCCAAGGATGAACCCCTCTGTTGTGGCTGCCCACAAGAGGATTGGACTTCTCCAAAGGTTCAACAAGTGGCAAGGGAAAGCCATGGAAAGATGCAAAAGTCCATGGACAAGATGGTGAGCAAGATCAAGAGCTTGGAGAAGAAAGTTTCTGGTTCTTCAAGCAAGAAGAAGAAGTCCAAGGCCCCACTTTCCCTAGGAGTAGGTCACTCCTCACCACTCCAAAGGAGGCTCCCTGCCCAAGAGCCTCACAGAGCCTCTTCTTTCGAGCCAAGGGAAGGAGAGACAACACGCAGAGAAGGAGGAAGACTTCCAAGGCCAGACGCTCCAGCTCGACCACCGGACTCGATCGAGTCCAAACAGAGGAAACTCAACTCGATCGAGCTGAGGGTCGAGTTGACCTGGAGGAGCCCCTGTTTGAGAACCCTGGATTCGAGTACGATCAACCAGTACCAGGACTTCTCCAGACTGGACCCCTACAACAGCTTCGAGCACCAAGCTCCACCAAGGCCAAGGAGCCACACACTTTCAACGATGAAGAAGAGGAGGAAGAGGAGCCACAAGCTCGATCGAGTGAGCCGAGGCAACCCAGTTGCAGTGGAGCGCTCCTGATGGCCGTCTCCCATCTCCAGACCACGACCTAGCCTCCCAGTTCTTTGGGGGGCACTGAGGTATCCAAACACCAACCCTTGTATATACCATTTCATATTTTCTTGCATTTGTTCTTGTTTTTTCTTGGTTTTGCCCTCTTGAATCTTTCACTAAATTTTTCTCACACAAGGGACTGTGTGATTTAAGTTTGGGGGAGGGTTCAAGAGATGATTTAACCTTGTTTTCTTTGTTCTTAGTTTTTCATTTATCTTTTGCATAGAAAAACCAAAAAAATCATAAAATTTTCAAAAAATCCAAAAATATTTTCATCTTTTTGCATTCATATTTGTTAGACTTGTTTAGGATTGCATTTTTCACTTGCATTGTTGATTTGACTTTGAAAACTTGTCCATCTTTTGCGATTTCTTGAGTGCCCTGTTTTTAGATTCTTTTGTGCATTAGGGTGAGATTGATTGAGCAGCAAGAACCATGTTTATCTTGATCATATCACTGCATGCACATCTCATTCAACCATTGCTGTGATTTGATGCATTTCCCTATCTATTTGAACCATAACTTGATCTTTAATTACCAATGCTTGCATTTGATTTCAACTCATGGCTACCACATACATATCTGGACATTCTTTACCTATTTTCATATCCCTTTGCTTGTCCAGATAGCTGATCTCTATCTTTGAGACAGTTACCACACCTTAAACCTAAGCCTTTTCATTTCAAACCCCATTTTATCTCTTGTGCGAATGTGAGAACCTTTCTTGGCTTTGCTTAGCATAAGGTGTTGTGTTTAAACCGGCAGGGGCAGTAGTTCTAGTTGTCTAGTTCTCTTGGGATTGTTTTCAGGCTAAGTTTGGGGGTGCCAACTCGAGCTCGATCGAGTTGGGTGTAAAAACCAGAAAAGTGGTAAAAGTTGGGAAAAACCCAAAGGAAAAAGAGTTTAGTTAAGTCCAGGGAGTTGGCAGTGTTAAAAAGGGTCTAGTAAAGGTTTGGGAAGTTAAAAAAGGAAAGTAAAAAGGGTTCTAAGTAGAATGAAAAGAAGGCAAAGCCTCAAGTGTCAAAAAGGAAAGAAAAGTTCCCTAAGTGTTTAGAAAATCCCAAACCGCTAGATGTTACCTCAAGAAGCCTCTCCCTAGGAAGTTCTTAAAAGAAAAGTGAGCAAAGCTCCTCAGTTTCAAAGGCGAAATGCCAAAAAGGGTAGTTAGGATTTTGTTCTAAAAAGCTCTAAGTGTTGAACTCGATCGAGTTAGGATTAGGCGGCTCGAGCTGCTGTTCTTGCATCATCTTTGGTTCTAACACTTAGCCTTCTGCCAAAGCAAAGCCACTTTCTTGAGAGATCCCTGTTACTAAACCACCATACAAAAGAGACCCTCTTTGTCTCTTAACCCATAAACCCTTGAAACCAAATGAGTTGATTGATCTTGCATGTTTTTGGTTCACTGTTTTTGCTTAATGAATGTTAAAGGGATTTGCTGATTTGAATGCATTGTTTGAGTGACTGTGAAGTGGGATTGATGTTGATAAGCATGGTTAAATCTTAATGAATATCTCTCACCTTGTTGCATTCTAGAATCTCTAAGTTGGACATTTAGCAAATCGCTTTTGAGGACATGTTTTTAAGTGTTGAATCAGCTTTTTTCAAACCTCATCTCTTTCTTGTTCTATTTGTTTGCTTGAGGGCAAGCAAAGTTCAAGTTTGGGGGTGTTGATGTACTTGCATTTTACATAGTTTTAGCACATCTTTTATGCATCTTTTGCATAGTTTTAGCTTCCATTTGCATCATATCTTGTTCCTTTTCTCTTCTTATGCATTCATGTTAGTTTTAGGTTGCATTTGCATACATATGCATGTTTGGTCCTTTGAAATAGGTCTTTTGGAGCATTCTGGAGCATATGGGACATGAGGAGCATGGAGGGACTTGGCACATGGAAGCAGCTCAACTGGATACGCAAAGGAAGAAGGGAGAAGCCATCTTGAAGACCAGCTCGACCGTCCACTCGACCAACCGGTCGAGTTCCTCAACTCGACCGGCCAAGCTTCAACTCGATCGAGCTGGAAGTCAAAGTCAAACCCGAAAAATGTTGCTTCCCCCTTGACTTTCCTTTGACCCTAAACCTAATCCTCTTGTATTTAAAGGCTCTAAGCCACGAAAAAACCACCAAGCTTTAGATTATTTTGTTTTAGTTTCTTTTAATTTATTGTCTTTTACTTTTTAGAGATCTAATCCCATCTTTGTGTTCTTGAAGCTCTTGCTTCTTGAATCCTAGATCCTGGATAATCTCTCTTTGTATTTGCACTTGCTTATTTCAATAAAAGTTGTTTAATTTCATCTCCTCTTTCTTATGATGTCTCTTTTATTGCATTTGCTTGTGTTTACATTCATGTGTAGTGAGTAGTTACCCATTAGGGTTTGAGATGGGATAGATTAGAGGTTTCATATGCTTAATCCTTCTAGCTTATGGTCTTAATCTAGATTCTCTCTCTTTTGGATAGATCTTAAGGCTACATGACCACTACCCCTGGCTTGTAAGTCCTTAGGCGACTCCCCACACGGAAGTGATGGCATTCGCTGGAAAAGATCCACTAAGAGCTCCAATATCTCTTGCTCTAGACAATAGAGGTCTAAGGGGTTGGATGGATTAGTTTGGGCAATGATCCTATAGCCTCCAAGGTTTGATTCTCACTGGCTAACCCCCTGTTTCTGAGATCATTCCTTGGTTGATAGCCTCCACCTTGGGAAAGGGTTGGCTAGGCATTGAGAAGCCCAATATCAAGAGAAGCCTTGATACAAGGAGTTTTAAGAGCTAGATTGATTAAGTGTAGATTCCTTTGATTGCAAAACCCTGTCTTGAACCCTAATTCTCTCTTTATCTTGTTAAAGTCGTCACCTTTAGCTTTGTTTGTCTCAACTCGTCCCTAAACTCGATCGAGCTGGTACTTTGCTCTACTCGACTCGAGCTCTTGGTCGAGCTGACACTTCACTGCTTTGTTTACTTTTATTGCACTGCTTTTCATTTTTTTAGGTTGTTAGTGTTACTTCAAATCTATAACTGCTTGCTTGACTTTCAGGTTGTTTCATATTCTCAAAGAGTGACAAGTTTCCCATTTTGGATTGATAACCTCTTATACTTCAATGACTATGATGGTTAAGAGGAATTGTTGATTGTGATTGTGTTTGCACCATACCATATCATCTTTATTCACCCTGTTTGCATTCCACCTCATTTCATTTCACACACACATAAAATCCTATCATCAAGAGTCAAGATGCTTGGACATGGAGGAAGATTTGAAGAAGCAAGGCGAGGCCATTGAAGACAATAGGAGAGCGATACACTTTACCAAAGTTTCTACCAAGGAGATGGACAATCACTTAGATGAGAAGATCTCAAGTCTTGATAACAACCTCGATGGCACCACCAAGAGTCTCAATTCAATAACAGCAGTAGCTCATCAAGCTAAGAGGGAGGTAGCCGAAGTAACCCTAAAAGAGAGGCAATGTTACTCGACGATGCTTACATTGGTGGAAGGGCAAAAACAAGTGAAGGCACAAATCCGAGATTTACACATCTCTCTAGACAAGAGGAGCCAAGATATTCAAAGAAGAGCTAGAGGGCTTGAAGACAAAGTAGATGGAGTCTCCAAGGAAGTCAAGGATTTAACCACTCGCTTAGCCAACTTGGAAGAGAAGGTCTTGACCGAGGCAAAGACGACCGTTCTAAGCACAACCATGCCGCGCCCGTCTTTACTATAAGAGAGACCGACCCAAGAGTGATTTGGGATGAAGAAGAAAGGAGAGCTGATCAAGAAAGAGCCACAAGGCTAACCACTGGAACAAAGAGAAGATAGCACCAAAAGGAAGAACCCTTACTCAAAGGTCTTCACAACCGCCTCCCACCAAGGAGAAGAGGAAGACAAGATCATCACTTGAAGAGATCATAGATGATTTCAACTTTATGGCGAGGAGATTCCCTTATGGTGTGCCGTTTGATAATGCTTGCAACAAGAGTCCATTCATGCAAGACCTAGCTTGGACACAAGATTGGAGTCTAGCTGAATTGGAAAAGATGTACGAGGAAGCAAGAAAGGGGATGCCTAAACCTAGGTTTCTACACAAGCTTCATGACCCAGGTTACTTCCTTATACATTTCTCTATCAATGGAAGCTACTTTGATGATGCTCTTTGCGATTCCGGTTCTAGTGTGAACCTTATGCCGGCCGAGATAGCCAAGAAGTTGGGATTGATCAATTCAATTGTGAAATCTCGAATGGATTTAAAGCTAGCTGATTCATCATTGACCGAACCACTTGGAGAGGTTAAAGACATTCAGCTTGATTTTGGAGGCTGCATAGTTCCAGCCAACTTCTATGTAGTAACCATGAAGGATCCGGAGGACTTAAAGCTTTTGCTTGGAAGATCATTCCTAGCCACAGCTGGAGCGATCATGGATTGGCCTAATAGAAGAATCTCTCTAGCCAATGTTGACAAGGACACCTTCTACGATGCTGCACCTCCCGGTTTCTCATCCAAGCGATTTCGCTACACAAGTGGAGGAGAGTGCTCACAAGTAAGAGGAGAGTCGCATGGCTACTTGATCAAGGAAGTTCTACAGGACAAGATGCACTTGGAATCATCAGGCAACAGGAAGTTCTTGGAGCCACCAATCCTACCTAACTAAGAACACAAAGGAGTCGAGCTACAAAGACTTAAAACAAGCGCTTGTGGGAGGCAACCCACATTTTCTTATCCCTTCCTCTTTTTATTTTTGTTTTTATTTTTATAACTACTTATTTGTTCTATTTATAACTCTTAAATTTTTGAGAGTTTAATAAATTTTACAAAAATAAAATAAAAAGTGTTTTAGGAAAAAGTACCAAAAAGGAGGCTTACATGAAAAATGCATTGGAAAAGCTACATCGCCACCAATCGGCCAAGGATCAACCATCTTTGGTCTAAGTGTCAAGTATTGAGTCTAGTTTGAGTCCCACCCAAGTCCCACCCATGTTTCAAGAAGCAAAGAATCCAAGAAGGGCCGCGGCACAACAAAATCCGGCCATTGGAACACTATTGCACAAGGCAAGGTAAGTCAAATGTCATTTGTCACATTAACATTATCTCTATTATTTCACACATGAACACTACTTAGATCTCTGATCAAGATCCAAGTACATGTAGTGTCACGATCAAGTCATTGATTGGGAAGTTCAAATACTTGAGCATCTCAATCATTGACAGAGTTTAACAAAGAGTTACTAGTGTTTTTCAGATATAAACATGACAGGAAAACCGGTTCAAAATATCAACAAACATGGCGCGCAAGGAGCCACAACCGGCCAAAGGAGGATTTACATGCCAAACATGAGAGATGAGGGAAATCCAACCACAATTCAATCCAGGAGGGATAGAAAAACAGTTCGGTCGAAGCAGAACTCAATTGGCCCGAGTAAAAAAGGAGATATCACATTCACAATCACTCTCTCGGCCAGAATCGACGAACCAAGCGACAATGCTCGACCATCTCCCAAACGGCACGACCGAAGTCCACCAAACTTCACAGGCGACCTCAAAACATCATTTTGGTCGGCAAATCCAAAAGATAGGACGAGAAAAGTGCCTGCTACGTGAGATAGACGAGGAAGCTCAATACGGCCGACGGCGATGCATAGAATGGCCGACGAACTCAAAACCTCAAGAAGGCGCGAACACCGGTGGAAACTGATCCTCTGGAGTCCAAAAAACACCAAGGAAGAAGAAAGGAAGGAGACGATCGAACAGAATACAAGATGGCCAAAGGAATCACATCCCACGCCATTGGCGCGCACGACGAAAGATCTCCGAATCCACACGTTCAAATCGCCTCAAACTTCACAAGGAGCCACAAAACATAAGGTTGGTCGATGAAATTTCATTTCAGTACAATGAATTCCTTACAATTCAAGAGATGGCCGATGGAGTGAAATTTGGCCGATCGCGAGCAAGTAAAATGGCCGACAATCCAAATCACGGCATTTACCGCGGCCACCGGCTCAAATCACCTCAATCAAGCATCCACATCGCATCTAAAGAAGAAAATCCGGATTGGAACGAGCAGAATTGGAGAAGACCGAAGGAAGACGTTCCCGGAGCCAATTTGAAAATTTTTCAAAGGAGATCTCAAACCACTCGTTCAAACGACCCCAAACTTCACCAGTCGCCATATTATACAATATTGGTCGACGAAATTTCAAGATAGGTCGAGGAAATCTTCACGGTTCGAGCTGTAGTCCATACCATCACCATCCGGTCGACCAAAACGGACCAGTCTCGGCCAAAAAGGCGAAAAACAGAAAACCAAGGGAGAATTGTCACATTCATCCAACCAAATCCAACAGCTATGATGTTTGCACCAGTCAGTTCATTCCTGGAAGCAACTACAAGCGCACAACCGATCTTCACATCAAAGGCCAAAAATTTGGGTACAATTTTCTACAAACTCTAACTTTTCCATTCTTATTTATCATTACCTCTCTTAATTGGATTTTTCTTACACCGAGACGGTGCAAGTTAAGTCTGGGGGGATTACTAACAAGTTTGTTCTTTTTGCTTTTCATTGAGTCGTTTTATTGAGTCAAAATTTTGTCAAAGGATTATGACCTTATCTTGGATCTAACCATTGTTGTGCTAACGTTTAAGTGACCATTGAAGCAGTCTTGGCAATACATCTTACCACAGGGACACTATGAGTTGATCGATCTACCAAAAACGCCCACACCTCCAAGGACTTGAGAAGGATCCACTCTTGACTCCGCCCTTAATGAACTTAATCTTCTCAGCTAGGGGCTTGGCATACAAATGGCATGATTCCTCATCCTCTCCATCAAATGAAAAAGTCTTAGTGAGTTCGTGCTTCCCTCTCTCTCCCCTTCAAATTTAAAGAAAAAGCGTAAGGTCCAAGTAACCGGGGATTCGGTGGCAAACACCATCAATACTCGCGTCTATGGAAGGCCTATGAATCCAAGCAACCGGGGATTCGGTGGCAAACACCATCAATACTCGCGTCTGTGGAAGATCCAAGCAAAACCTCTATAATAAAGAGAAGGAGTTGAATAAAAAAATACTTCGCTACCCTAAAAAAGGGATGAGTCAACTCAAAGAAGTGAGAAGAGAGAGAGGAGAAACATGGAGTAAAAAGACAAGTGCCAAAACAAGGGGATGAGTAAGAGTCTAAAGCCGGCTGATCGATACTCCCTAGTTGAGACCACACCTTTAGAAATGAAAGGAGTCAAGGAGGGTGAATTGGATTGTCCAAAGAGAGGTGGGCCGCCTTGGAAAAATCGCAAAACTCATGGTATGTACTCTTGTTCTTAATTCAAATATTTGCCTTTACTACTTTCATGTGGATTACTAAAACCAAGCCAACCCGGATTTCCTAATGATTTGAGAGTTCTTGCGTTTTCAAACCTCTCTTCCTCTCTTAGTTTGCTTGGGGACAAGCAAAAGGCTAAGTCTGGGGGAGTTGATATACCCATATCTTTCATGTTTTTATCAAGGTTTTCACTATGTTTTTAATACAAATAATGTGGTTTTTAAGCCCAAGAGGTAGTTTTCTTGTATATTCTGGTTTTGAGCATCATTCAGGTCAAAATAGCAAAGAAGAGTCAAAATGGAGCAAAAAGAGTCAAATCACCAAGTTCCCAAGTCTAGAGCACCAAATCTACATTTCTCGCTAAAGACCAAACCGGAGCATCCGAAGTACGACCGCATATTCATGCCTTCCCGACGTCCAAAAGTCATGATTCTTATATGGAAAGATAGATATTTGAGTCATGACCCGCGGCGAAGTGGAAAGAGGTCATTTGGATCACTCGTTGGACCGGAACTTATTTTCTACCAAGACATGTCCGACGAGCGCCTAAGTAGAGCCCATGGAGACTTTGATGGATCAAGAGGCCCGAGATACCGCGCCCAAGGCCTTGGCTCATCTTGACACTAGCATAACTCAATCCAGAAGCTTCCATTGGCCTGAACGCGGCCCATTCAAGAACTTGGAGAGCAAGCTCAAGCGGCTAAAGAGAAATGGAAACTTTCCTCTTCTGCGCGCGCTCAACTTTGCCGACCTAGACCCGCTCTCTACCTATATATACTTGCTTTTAGCCTCTTGTAATAAGAATCACCAGCCGCATAACAAGAAACACTTATTCAATAAAGTTCGGAGCCACTTAGGTGGTCTCCTTCTTCTTTCTTTTCTTCTTTTGCATTTGTATATAGCTTGCATGTTTCAATTTATATAGTCTAGAAGTAGAGATTTCTCCCTAAGGGTGAGGCGTGGTTTAGTCTATATTCCGCCGCCTCTCTCTCTAAGGATTCATGAGACTTCATCTACTATCTAAGACTCATTGTTGAATTATGGATCCTTCCAATGAGGACGTGATATAATGGCCATCGAAAATCGATTGTTAAAAGGGGAAACCCTATGGTTCTCCATCTTTATTTATGCTTAATGCTTGTTGCTAGAGTAGCTAACTAGTGACTTGATTTTAGGTTGATATACTCTCCAAAAGCTTGTTATATCTCCGGACATAATATTTGATGGGCAAATCGTTTTAGGCTACGAAAGTAGACCTAAAGAGTTTTGTGAACAATCATTACTTGGATGTAATGCATGTCTCACTCTACAATGACCAACGAAAGCTGAGCCCATTGGTTTAAGAGACATAGGGGATTGGAACCACGAAAGTGGAATAATCCTTCCTTAGTGTTTTGAGTTCAAAAGAATCGGATTTTAACAAACTTTTCAATCGACTTGGCTCATGTTTTCAAAAGAGTTTTCAATAGTTCAATAATGTTGCTTGTATAGAATTGCATTGTTATTTCTTTTGCGTGTTCTAAACAAACACAAACCCTTGCATCTTTTGATTTAGCTTAGTCATTTAAACTCTATGATTATGTAATGTGTGAAATCCAATCCCTTGTGGTTCGACCCCTAAATACTACAATTATATGTTGTGCACTTGCAACACTAGTTGTCTTAGGGAATTATTACTTGTACTCATCCCATAGATGCCGCGATCACTGATCCACTGCCTCTAAACCCAAAGGCTCATGCGAAATGGCACACAAACGCAAGGTACTGATCTCGCCAACCAGAGACTCCACATCTCGCTCAACTGCGGAATCATACCTCCGTCTACTCAACGCGTCCGCCACTAGGTTAGCCTTGCCCGGATGGTAGTTAATGCTCACCTGTAGTCCGCCAAGAACTCAACCCAGCGCGTCTGTCTCGCGTTCATCATCGGCTGAGTGAAGATATGCTGCAAACTCTTGTGATCCGTGAAGACCTGTACTGTCTCACCTAGCAAGTAAGACCTCCAAATCTTCAACGCGAAGATCACTGCTCCCAACTCTAAGTCATGTGTAGGACGGTTACGCTCACTGCCCTGCCACTGTCTCGAAGCATATGCTATCACTCTGCCCTCCTGCATCAGCACACAACCAAGACCAATGCCTGAAGCATCTGTATACACCATGTAAGGCTTCCCTGGCTCGGGTAACGCCAACACTGGTGTAGTAGTCAACATCTCCTTGAGCTGACTAAAGCTCTCCTCACACTCAGCTGACCAAACAAAAGGGACATCCTTCCCGGTCAACTTCGTCATCGGCTGCGCCATGGTAGCAAACCCCTTGACGAACCTCCTGTAGTATCCTGCCAAACCCAGAAAACTCCTGATCTCGGTGGCACTACTAGGTCTAGGCCAATCTCTGATAGCCTCAATCTTAGCCGGATCCACAGAAACTCCCTCTGCAGAAACAATGTGGCCAAGAAATCCCATCTCTCGCTGCCAGAAACTGCACTTGCTCAACTTAGCAAAAAGCTTCTGCTCCCGAAGCTTCTCCAGAACCAACCTCAAGTGAGTCGCATGCTCCTCCTGACTCCTCGAGTATACCAGAATATCGTCAATGAAAATGATGACAAACACGTCCAAATACTCCCTGAACACGTCGTTCATCAATCTCATGAAGGCTGCCGGCGCGTTAGTCAAACCGAAAGGCATAACCACAAACTCAAAATGCCCATAACGCGTTTTATCCAGAGTCGAATAAAACGTGGGACTCAAAGCCTAACAAGGTCATTACGCAACATCTGCGTTGAGAACCTCTGCAATTCTATCACAGACAAAAAGAACAAACTACTACCGCCACAAATGCGTGTCACCCCTGAGATAGTGGACCGCTAACTCCACCTGATACTAAACCAGACATCTGATAGATTGCAAATTCCGCTCCAATCTCTGACGCCACTCATCTGCCGCCTCTGGGCTAACTCCAACCTCGAAATACGGGGTACCAATTCTCTGCATGTGCCCCATCATATCCAAATAGGACGGCACTATCAAACCCGCAGTCTGCGGCTGAAATAAAATCCTGCAGCCCTCTGCTGCACCTCTGCCCCTAGAGGTACTCCCGGAGCCCCTGTGGAACCACTGGCGGAAAACGAGCCAATAGCTGCGTCAGCAAACCCACCACCAAGTCATCTCGACCCGGAGCCGGAGCACCGCCCCCACTCGGAACAGCCCCCGCTCCCAAACCAACATTGGCATCCACACTGACCTCACTCGCCACGGATACCGACTGGGTCACCGACGCAGTCGCCACACTCGGCACCACACTCTCTCCCAAATCCGCCGAAGTCCACAATCTCAGCCCCGGCCTCCACGGCCTCTAGCTCTGCCACCACGACCTCAAGCACCGCGCTTTCTCGCGCCACAGCCTCTAGCTTTATCGGTTGAGACAACCAACACTTTTTTTTTTTTTTTAACAAATACTAATCAATTCTAGCGAAGGTCTTTAAAATCAATCAAATAAATAAAATATCAGTAAAAAAATAAGTAAGTTCAACAGAAGCAAATAATAATTAAACAAGTCTAGCAAGACAATGCAAAATAAATGAAAACAATAAACATCCTATCATCCCCCTCTTCAGTCTTGATTCCGCGATCACACAAATCTTTTACCTGCATAAGTATTTAATAAATACTTAGTGAGGCAATCACTCTGCCTACGAACCATTTACGCAATTTACTAGATATTTAATAATATTTATAAACTCCAATAATTATTAAATAATTATTAATAATTAAAACTTCATTTCTCAATTATTAAATAATTTTTATAATTCAATAATAATTTTACATATTTTAAAATAAATAAAATATTATTTTAAATCAATTAATTAATTAAATTAACCATTAATTCATTAAATCCTAAAATAAATCAAACAATCTTATATATAATAGATGGATAACTTTCTCCATCTTGGTGACACGTGGCATGCTCTTCTTTAAAAATAAAATCAGCGAAAATATTTCACATCCAATCCTTCAAAATTTGTTTCATTACAGAATAACCTCAAACACTCAAAAAATGCCTGTTTGGGTTTTCTCTCACTCACCTCTCCGCCGGATCTCTTGATTGCCTCTAATCTCGCCATGAAAGTTTCCGTCTCCGGTCTCTCCGTCCATCAGAGACTCGTGCACCAACAGACACGGCGTGCATTGGTGAGGTGTAATCCCTAGAGTACATCATTCTTCGCAGCTTCCCTGACCATCATTGTCGAATTAGGTTTTCAGAGTACTTTTTCCCAAATTGGAATGAAGAAATCGAAACGAAACTGGAATTAGGTTTTCTGCCGTATCCCAGCCTCGCTCAGTCAAACAAAAGGTTGGTTGTTTGAGCGTCGCCGGAGATTGGTTTCTTCTCTTCGCCGGTGGAGATGCTCTTCGTTTCAGACCGATACGGCCTCCATTCAGAGCGACCCCAGGGACTTCGACCGTGCTTTCTTCCTCGCCCGGCCGCAGACGACCGCGTTGATCTTAGGGTTTGGGTATTAACCAGTTCTTCCAACTTCGCCTCTTCCCTTCCATTCTTATGCTTCTGCCATCATACAACTGCCTTCAGTCGTCGTCTACGGGTACTATTGTTCTCCAATTCTTCTACATCGGCCTTATATCTCAACTTTTACTACCGATGCTTCTTCATAAATTGATTAAGTGTTCGGGTCGCAATCTCAGCCTTCGCCTGCGGGACATGAGAGTTTCCGGCTGATCAATGGACCCCATTTCAATTTGTCGAATTACAGTGCCATCCGTCCTCAGCTCAGGCGTTACACCATAACGGTTTTCTCTATTAAAAACCAGGTAATCAGCATTAACTTATCTCCATCATTCTCTTTACAATTTCAAAAACTGATTCATAACATACACTTTCTTTTCGACTTCCCTCTCACAAACTTAAATGCTACGCACTAAATGTCATCAATATTAGGCTCACAGGCAATGCTATTACAGTATACTTATATATACTTTTGCCATAGCTGCTTAACGTATGTCGTATATCGTAGTTTTACTCATACATCGCTCGGTTGCCCTGCCCAAGCAGATTCCGATCGCTGACCTATCCTTTGGACCAACAAAATGTAAAACATCACCGTTCGGCTGCTGAGAATGTGGGAAGCGAGAAACTTCAAAAGGACGGAGAGCTCATGAGCCTGGACATGCTCTTTGTCGATCACGAGGTCAGCTATTCAATTCTGTCACCACTCGCTGCCCCAAACTCCTCACACAGTTAATCTTCTATCAGATGAACAGCCAATTTTAGACAAATGTTGTTTTATACAGAATACCATGATACAAGGTTCGATCCACCATCGGAGGATACCTCAATTCAGAGCGTCCCTTGAAGAGGGTCGAATCTACACCATCCACAACTTTGATGTCGTTCCAGCTTACCACCGTTTTAAAATCACAACCAACACAAAATCTATAAGGTTCACATATACTACTACTCTCCAAACCGATGAAAAGAATGCCAGCCTCAATTACTAAAGAGAATTTCAGGCTGCAAACTTACTCGGAGTACCTCGCTCTTGCAAATACCAGCCTCGATTTACCAGGTAACAGAACAACACAACGTATACAAAATACTATCTTACTAAGAAGACTTTCGTTTTCAGATGTAATGGGACAAATTTTGAGTGTCCAGGGATCTAATATGAAGGACCCAACTTCAACACAATAAATTGTTCTACTTCTTGTACTCAAAGAGTAAGTACTACATAAATACAACAAACAGATTCTTTTACGATGACTATGGGGACACACAAGTTTTCATTAATAAACTAAACCATCAAAATAACAGATTTTAGACATTGTTTGCATATACGTTAATCGTTTTATTGATAAACTAAATTCTTTCTTTAGTGTTCAAACTATTAAACAGAGGGTAAACTGTCCGTCTCACTCTCTGGGACAATCAGGCTGCTGATTTTAGAAAGCATTTCAAAGATGTGGGTGAAGGCGCTGTAGCCGTCGTCTGCACCTGTCTCAACCCTAAATTGTTTGCTGGTACTATCACAGGTACTTCTTTTATTTTTAACTTTTTATTAGAGATTTTATTACACCCCTAACTGCAGGATCTCTCTATCTAAAATTCAACTGGAGCTACTAAGTTCTTTTTTTACGAAAACCTGCGAACAATCAAAGCTTTCCACAAAGGGTAAATGTTACGAGGAGCTATATATAACTTTCTGCCTAATTTTTGTATGTATATTATAACATTCTTTTTCATTTCTGCTCCTTCATTACTCTTCAGTAATGCCTTTGAAGCAGAGTCAAACAAGCCATCTATAATAACGGAAGAGACTTCTCTCAAAAACATGGAAGTCCTCTCACTTAGGGACCTTCTGGAATACGTTAAATCCTCTCGCAAGCAGGTTAACAAATATTCATTAAGTATAGTTAATTTTTATATATAGTAATAACCTGCATAACATATTTTCTAAACGGCAGAGCAGGAAAAATAAGTTATTTGCCGTGCAACTGTCCAAGGGATCTCAACTAAAAATGGATGGAAATATGTCGCGCTCCAAGAAGCTTATCCGTAGACTTTCGTCATTCACATGCACCACCTGCAGTGATAAAAACGCAATCGGAGTGCTAAAGTAAACGCCTTCATTGTTACTATGCAACATAAACATTTATGAATACAAACGCTTACCCTATCTAATGCCAGCTGTTTTCTTTCACATGAAAGGTTCAGGGTGGCTCTGATCGTGATCAGAGGGAGCTCAGAGTTAATTTGTCCTCTTCGACCGCGCAACAAGAAAATTCACAAACAAAAGTGCAGACGACTTAGTAACACCGGTGGTAAGACAATTTTCTAGATATCGCACCACATCACTTATAACTCTCTCAATTTCAGCACTGATGCTATATACATGTGTTCTTCTGTAATGAAACAGGAAACATAAAAAGACATTTCCGATCGAGAGTCTCCAATTCCTGAGTGCCTAACTGATTTGATAGGAAAAACATTTGATTTCCAGATAATGATTACCAGCTTCAACTTCACAGGCTCTTTTCAATCCTTCACTGTAACACGTGTTGTTCAGGAAATCCAATCATGTGTGTCCAATGTAAGTTTTAAAATTGCCACATTTAAATTTGAACTACAATGTAGTACAAGAATCGGTAAACCCCTGAGACAAAAGTACCACACTCTGTCCAGGATCACCATGTACGTGGAGCGGGTAAAGACGTCGTGTGGATACAGACGGAGAAATGAGCTCCGGCTGCGGCATGGGATATGAAAAACCTCATCCAACTAATGAGGACACTACTCCTAAGGTATTAAAGGATGAAAACAAATTCCATTTTAACAACTTTTCTATTTAGAATCCAACAACTAACACGTGCGCAAATCTTTCAATCAGGGAACTAAATCCATCAATGATAACAAGAGGAACATGGCTGCCTTGGAGGAGAATCCATTTACGGAGGAGAACATGGCCTGCAATACTAACAAGAAGGAGAAACAGGAGTAGACGTACGGGCTACGCAATCTACTTTGTTATGGATTTTTATTTTCTCAGTGGTTTTATCTTTTTTCTCCGCAGTACTTTTTTTTTTTTGGTAAAATGTTAAATTTCTCCGCAGTACTTTTGTTTAAAATCAAGTCGCTTTCCCAGTTTTAGCTCATGTGTCTTTGCTGGTTTCAAACATGTGGGTTTCAGTTTCCTTTCTATCGTTGTTGCATACAAAATTAAAACAATTCTACATTGGTTCCAACTACATTTCAACTATGGTTTTTTCCTCTGCATTTGATTGTGACCGAATATAATACTAAATACTCATACGTCAGAATCTCTTTTCCAAACAAAAAAAAAGTGTGCACCCTTGGGTAAATGAACTATTTTTTTTGTTTTTTTTATATTAGCATTTGCAGATTTATAACTTTTTCAATCTGATGAAGTCTGAAGGTTCAATCAATGAAAACTTATTCATGACAAATTTTAGTTTAATTTTTCTTCTTTATTTTGTTCATAAGTCATAGATATTGCCTGCGCATTATCCAAAATTTTGGTTTGCTTTATAAGGGTTAGACGACATGAGGACATTTTTCATTTTGCTAAAATATAAATAAGTTAGATAATTGGTTTTGCAACAATCTCAATGTTAACATCCTTTACAAACCTATAGTTTTCCTCCAGATTATTTGAATGGAATTTATGAATAAATAAACAAAGTTGGTTTTTCTACACACTACCCGCGCATTGGTAGAGTTTAAAACTTCATCATTTCTTTTGTCTTAAAACAACATATTTGATTTGGATTTTATTTCTATGTTCCTTAAATAATTTATAACTATGTGGATATCATTTAAAAAGGATAACTATATAAACATAGAATAAATATATTAATTCTGTATTAATTCTGAAAATCTGAATTTGTATTTAATAAATAATTTGTAATATATACTATCCGCGCATCGCGCGGGCCAAACCCTAGTATAATTAAAACATTTTAATTCAATTACACCAATTAATCAGAATCAAATCAATTTAAACCAAATATGATAAACCAATTAAATCAATTAATTTAAGTAAACCAGATTAACTATACAAACACACAATTCATCATAGGAACAACCAAAATACCATGAAATAACAATTAAACACATAAACTCATCAAGAACAACCATAAACCAAATATAATCTAGCAAATCACGGACCCACAGTCATGCACTCACCTTGACAATAGATTGAAACTGAAGGAAAGAGGAAAGACAATGAACAGTGCTGAATCCCGAAGATGAACAGTAACCCCCCCGATGAACAGTAACGAAATCTGCTCCAAAATCTCAGAATTTCTCCTTGAAACCTCTCTCTCTTTTCTGTAAATGTTCACCCACTAAAAAAGAGGCAGCTCCTCACTTTTATTCACAAACTAGAGCTTTCTCCACTAAACCAGCCCAAATCAAATCACTTAAATTGAACCGACGAAATTCCCAATTCTTTTTTGGTTTATGGATGTTACATCGGTAGTCCAGTAGTCGACTAGATCTTTGTAGTAATCATCAAGGATCCAATATGGTTGCTGACCTCTTTCCTTAACTCAACTGATCATGTCGATCAACATGGTTGCAGCACACTTGTGAAACATTTTTCTCACTTCCACCTCAAATAAAGGATTCCAATTAAATTTACTCTGGTTTTTTGTTCAAGAAAAACAGAAGTAAACATTAGGATTAATGTACAGAAAAGTAAGAATATAATCAGCGTACAGTTTTTTATTAAACGCCTAAAAAGGAAAAGAATATTTGACGGTTTACTAGAAACATAGAATTATAGTTAGAGAGATAGTGTTATAGTTAGATATATATATTAAACAATGAATATATGTAAAGGTGAGAACTACAATTAGGCAATTTAGGTCAAATCTAATTAGACTAAGGTAGAAGAATACTAAAGCAATCTTAAACTCACATGCAAATGTGTAAGCTGTTTCCAGAAATGAAGTCAGATTTGTTTATTAAAATGAAATATATGAGCAGTAATGCAGTAAATATAGAAGAAGCGTAAAATCTAAACATATCTTTTTTTTTTTTTAACGTCTGAATATTATTGTGGTATAAACCAAAAGTAACAAGAAGATAGAAACATAGATGTTCGTAACACCAAAACAAAACAGAGCATCAAACTCTGAAAATGAAAAAAAACAAAAACCACCAAAGGGATAATTAGCCTCCTGCGTGAGCTTCTCGTTGAATACGATCATGGAGCCATGAAGGGCCACCTAACGCAAGGTAAGATTGAAATTTGCCTGTTCTTGCAACACTCTTGGCGATACCACGTGCTATCATATTAGCTCCTGGTTTCTCCAATTCAAAACTGCATCGCAGGAAGCGTCGAGCTAGGAGTTTGATTTTTTCTGTGAAGATGCGATACCGAGGCCACGAACTTGGTTGTTAAATCGCCTCTACTGCATCAGCGAGATCGGAAGCGATGGTGACCTCAGGGAGGTGTAAGTCACTCAAGCTTGTCATTGCCCAAATAATACATCTAAATTCTGCAACAAGGCGATTAGGAGAGCATGTAAACGCATCTCGAGCATGAAATATCACCTGTCCATAGTGGTCTCGGAGAATCCAAGCTCCTCCACTGAGTAGGTTTCGGTTTCTCCAATTCGCAAACAGATTACACTTGACCTGACCGTTCAAAGGTGGGTACCAGCAGTTATCAGACGCACTCAAGGAGCAGTTAGTTGTTGTCTGCACTGGAATCTCTGTATTGACTTGAAACCAGATTGTTGCCTCTTCCTTCGCTCGTTGAGCTATCGTATATGGAGATTCTTGGTGACCAGCAAGCAAAATGGCATTTCGGTGTTTCCATATGTTCCATAGAATCCATGGAATAGCTTGTCGTGTCGGAGCTAACAGAGAGTGGTCTTCCATTAGATCCAAGACAAAAGCAAAATTCTCTTCTAGGGAGTTCGAGAAGCCACTCGCTGGTTGCGGAATCTGAGCTTGGACAAAAATTTGTTGTGCTGCATCACAAGTAAAGAGCATATGGCAAATCGATTCGGTGTCATTACGGCATAACTTGCACGTAAGATCAATTTGTATACCTCTCGTTCTTAATCTATCTGAGACAGCAAGCGCACCTGATAAAACTCTCCACAAAAACATTTTGATATTTGGTGTAGACTTGACTAACCAAACTCTGTTTTTTAGTTCAATCCGAAACTGATCTCTTGCAGATAAAGGGGTAGGACGCACAAACGGATGATTAGCCACAAACCAATATCCACTTTTGACAGTATAGGCTCCATGTTTGGTGTAAGACCAAATGTTCTTGTCATGAACATTCCCAATATCCATATTCTCGATACGCACTACATCTGCAGGGGGAAACAACTCCCGTAGTAATCCACCGTTCCAGCGACCTGAAGGTAAAATCAAATCTGAGACTTTAAGGCATAAGTCGTATAGACATTGCTTGTTCACCGGTCGTCGAGGGGCTTCATCCAAGATCCACTTATCTATCCAAACATTAGTGTCCTGGCCATTTCCAATGGATTTCATCAAACCTCGAGATAAGAGTTCTCGGCCATGAAGAATGCTTCTCCAAGTGTAGGAGGGCCGAGAGTCCTTTCCACAACTTAGGAAATCTGTTGATTGGAAATAACGACCTTTGTATAACCTTGATAACAGAGAGTCAGGTACATTGAGGATTCGCCATGCTTGTTTAGCTAACCGTGATTGATTGAAATCACTTATATCCCGAAATCCTAGCCCTCCATTAGCCTTTGATTTGCACATCTCTTTCCAAGAAACCCAATGTATTTTCCTCTTCTCCTCACACGCATTCCACCAAAACTCCGTCATCGCGCTTGTGAGTTTCTGACATTGATGTTTTGTTAGTCGAAAGCAAGACATCGCATATCTTTAATAACAGAAACAGCCAAATATTTAGTAAGATATTCTCTTCAAATAGGGAGGCAAAAAACAAGTATATCCACCAAATCACCGCTTCATATAAGTCATAATCAAAGACACAATTACGAAGATCATTTAATACAAAAAATTATATGACATTCATATGAAGGAGAATATAACACGATACCCATAATATAATTGAAACACGTTATCATCAATTTTCAAGTAATGCAGACTCCTGTTTTAAAATTGTATATAAGTATAAATGCACACATGTTTATAGGATATAATAATCGTAAAACAAAGTAAGAAATCATGTCCACCAAAAAAATGTAGAAAAAAACAAATCTAAACAATCCAATATGTCGACCAAAATAAAATATAAAAAGTGTACCAACATAACCGATATAATAAAATAAAGAATAGAGTATATCAAGATGAATCATCTTCTTGATCTTCGGTTGAATCATAGGGTCTGAATGGGGACACAGATCAAATACAGAATAAATGTAGATATAGATAAAATCACAATTTTAATACAGATCAAAATAAATGCAGAGAAATTTTTTGATCTATATCCAGATCAAAATTCAGTCAAAAAATTAAAGTTTGCATAAAATTAACAGTACAAATCAATGGGTCCCACAGATTAATGTTTTTTTCTTCTCTCTCTTAATTACTTGTTAATATCAAATTCGGATTATTTAATAACAAAAAAAATCTATAAAAATTGTATACATTTTATAATATATATTATATTATCAAATATATATTTTTTATATATATTATTATATATAAAAACTAAGGTAATTTGTATGAATACTACAAAAATTGAAAGTATTTCGAAAAATAACATTTTGCATCCAAAATATTATAAATAAACCAAATATATAATTTCTTTTAAGTATCATTTTCTAAAATAATTTAAAACTTAATCAACTAATGATCACTAATATTAAATAAAAAAACTCATTTTTAATACAATGCATAAAATTAGATAAAGATCTGAATCATTATACATGTCATACCATAAATTTTATTTTACTTTGTTTCATAATCTTGATTTGATTTTATTTTTATATAATGATGTAAAAAATATTTAACAAAGAACATGAAAAAAAATTATTTTGGTTTGACACTATTATCGTTTCAAATTTAATTTAATAAATAAAACATGAACTATATTTTCTTAATGTAAGTTTCATTTTCATGTTACAGATTCTTGGAATTTAGAAAACTGAATAATGAATAAGAATAAATTTGAACATTTATGTTAAGTGTGTATCTATCCGGATTCGAAAATCTAAATCGGAATTGACCTGGAAAATCTTAGTTCGGGGGCTGGATTCGGATATAGACATTTTACCCAACTCGATAAAATTTATCTAATTGAAATATTTCAAACCAAAAGAAATCAAACTAAATGCGATCCAAAAATCCGAATATCCATAATAATTTTCACGATCCGAAAATTCGAATGTCCAAACTAATTTTCTCGTTTTTGTTTGATCTGTATTTGATCTGCATGATCCGCATGATCTGTATTTGTTCTGTCTGATCTGGATTTACTGTTTGATCTGCATATTTTGATCTGTGTCACCATTCGAAGCCATAGTTTTCTTGGGAAACATTATCAGTATCATTCGAGTATATATACAAACTTTAAATCATTTTTTTTATAAGATATGTAACTTTATGTAGAACATTTGTTGCAAAATAGTTATTAAAATATTGCAAGTATTGTGGCAAATGTGTCACGTAATTTGTCACATATTTTTATTCAATTTTTCTTGAAAAAAAGTCACGATTCACTTTCGTTGAATGTTTCTTGCAAATTTTGCAAGACAATTTTATAAGTCGTAAACAAGTCACAAATTTGTAATGAAAATCTGCAACAAAAAAATTTGTTGTCATTTTGCAACGAATTTGTTATAAAATTACAACGTTTCTATATCATCACAAAATAATTGCAAAATATGTTGCAAAATTTTGACGAAACCTAACGTTGCAAAAATTATGTTGCAATATGACCTTTTTCTTGTAGTGTGGAGAAATTGTAGTAAATCCGAGACTATTGATTTGATTTTGTGTCTTCTTCTGGAGGGAGCTTTGAAAAATCTGGGTTTTAAGGTTTCTACTGGTAAGATTTGTGTTCCTTTGTCCATTTTGGTTTTGTGGAGAAATTGACGAAATCCTAGACTATTATTCACTTGTTCTTCTTTCTGGTTGAGCTCAAAACGAATTTGAGTTTTAGGGATTCTATAGAATATGTGAAATTTTGAAAATTGGTTGTAGAAAAAAGCTTGATGCTGTTTGTGTTGTTCTAGGTGAGGTTTCGGAGTCAAAGCCATAACTGGAAAACCATCAGATCTTCGTGACAGATCGGAGAAGAATTAAGAAGGTGTTATCGGCGTCAAGCAGTATGTCTGAACAAGAGGAATTGTTTAGGATCATATATGAGAGTCTGAAAGAGGATCATGAGAATCTGAAATAAGATTACGCTAGTCTTTAGGAAAGGTTTAAGCTTGTAGATGAAATGAATAACATGTTGAAGTTGCATTGTCTGAAAGACCGGCCCTCCTGTCGAAGTGGGACGATCGCTCTGATCGCCTTCCTCGTTAGTTTCCTCCCAGGTAGGAGTTATCAGTTCGTTCAAGCCCATCTTAGGATTCGTCCAAGTATAAGTCGGATTGCCGATAAAACAGCCATCCGCAGAATGAACAACATGATCACCGCTTAAATGGTCGCCAATCGTCACTACCGTCCGCGCCGAGGACGCGGATGCCATCCTCTCTTTCCTCTTTTCCGTCTTCTTCCCAGCCGACTTATCCTTTTTCTTCTCCGTCTTCTTCTCAGCCCCTTTCGACGGCACAACCGCGGTCGGCACTCCCTTCCCGTAACGAGGCAAGGTCAAGTTTAGCTTCCCCATCCAGATGCTCGGCCTCTGCTTCTTCAACTGCCAAAAATCTAAGAGAAAAAACGCGTAGTCAGAATCAAGAAACGGATTGGCAGCAACGCGGAGGATAAAGTACACACCTGCTTCGATACGAGTCCACTGCCGTCTGATCTTCGTCTCGACAGTATCGTCCCACTTTCTTCTCCCGTGCTCGGAAAGCCGTTTAACGTTGTCGAAGAAATTTCTAGGAGAAACATGCCAGACAGGAGGACGATCTGCACAAGAAAAACGTCGTCAAAAACCATTTGTCAACTAGTTCTACAAATCAACAAAACCACTGCACCAAAGCACTTTAGAGCCTAGCTAAGTTTTCTACCAAAGGTCGGACTCTACTCATTCTTATATCGCCTGGTTAGATCTGGAACAAATGCTTCGTTCATACGAACAAAGAAGTACTCGTTGATTCAGTTCCTCGTCTTGCTAGGATGACCCGTAATCATCCCGTAGGTTGGCTTGGTGCTTACTTACATGGTCCCTAGAGGACCCGAATTGACAGCAATGTCGACATCGCCTTAAAAAACTGCAGATTGACCTCCATGTCGAGCTCGGCAGCCAAGAAAAGTGTGCCCATCACGTTACGAACGGTAGCAGGGCAGAGCTGGGAAAAGACGATCTCTACATCCTTGCAATGCGCGACGAACAACTTCGGAAATATATCCATAAATTTGTTTTAAAAAAACTGGAAATATATATGAAAACCCGAAAAAAAAATCCAAAAATCCTAAATAAACTATATCTATTATATCAAATAAAAAATAATCTACTATACGTCACTACCCACCCTATTAAATGCTCGGGTGGGTGCAACAACAAAACTAAACTTATAAGATAAAAAACATAACCCTGCGCTACTATTACGCAAACAAACTATTAGTTCTGTATTATAAAAGAAAAATCACAACAAAGTGTTCATAGTTTAATAAATCAAAAACATAATCTGAATAAAATATAAGAAACAAAATTCAAAAGGTTACCTAAACAACTATATATTAAAATTTCTTTTAAATTTGATTCTTTCACCGACAACAAACTTTACGTAGACAATAATCATAGAACTTGAAAAGATATTCAATTCTTAAAAAATAAAACTATCTATTTTCTAAAAATAACTTCAAAATTTGAGGTATTATTTTCTCAAAAAAATAGTATAAATATAATTAATTTAACATAGAAATTAATTACATCAATGTTTAGAAAAATAAATAAATATAAGAACAAAAATAAATAAACAAATTCTTGTGGCAAAGTGTATAAATATGTATTTAATATTTCATAACACATACATCACTTACTTTATAAATTATGTTGCATGGAAATCAAAATGGAACTATATCACATAATGATATCAAGGAACATAAAATTCTCAATTCTCTTTTTACTTAAATTTCTAGGGGTTGAGGAATCGAAGTATGTTAATAAGTTTTTTAACTGGTGTATATTCTTCTTAAAAAGTAGTCATCAAATTCTTCATTCTCTTTTTAACTTGTATTCATTCTTTTTTACAGTCACAATTTAACAATTACCGGTTAGCGTCAGAGTAAAAACTTGTCACGTCAACTTCACTAACGTTTTCGATTTTCTTGAAACTAATGGTTCGGATCTCAGCTTCAGCTTCTGGTCGGTGTACTCGAAGAGACGCATAAGGAAGCGAGTGGGCTTGAAGTGTTGAACCCCACGACAAGTTGCAGTTGGAGATATGGGCCGGTGACGTGTCAAGGCCCATCCGCGAGTTCACCTGAAATATAAACAGAAGAAGAGTTTGTTAGATTCCGTTGTAACGTCACTTTAACTTTTCTCTTCTTCTTGTTCGTTGTAATCGCAGTACCATTGATAGAGCTCCAAGAGCTTATCGCGTGAAGTCTGTAACTCAAGGATCTAGTGGATTTCCAAGGAAAGTCTTGAAGAGAGATGTACCTGAGGTTGAAGTGGGGAACTCTATAACCCGTTGTGTGCTTCTCTGATACGCCCCTGGAGTAGATCGGCTTGAAAGCTAAGTGTTGAGCGGATTGGAACACAAAGGATCCAACGATGGGATGAATAGATGAATGGATCGAGTGGCTATACTAGAGAACCCGCGGAAATGGAACTCTAACACCACCTTCGACTTGTTGATATTACACACAACAAGTGAAAGGAAATCTGTGGACTTAGTTGATATTACGCACAACAAGTGGACAGATGAGTGATCAAACATAAAAGAGAGGTTTTTGATAAAATGATTGATAAGTTTCAAAGAGAGAAAGGACTAGGGTTTTAAAGAAAACGAGAGAGAGAGAGAGAGAGAGAGATGGGAACAAGCTCCAAACATCTCGAGAAATCACAAAACATAAATGAAACAAAGACTGAGAAAGAGACCCTTCGGCTTCTGGCGCTCTCCTTTGAATCTTGGGCCGGACCTTCACAAATGAGAAAAGAGAGGATTTGGAAGTGTGCAATGGGCCTCGTTAAAAACCTTGTCAAGAAAACCCAAAGGGACAAAACTTGACAAGGGAAAAAGAGCACACCAAACACACTTGTCTCTTTATCCCATGTAAGGCCTTCAAGCAAACCAGAGTAGTTGGCTTGGTTTCTTGCTGACTCAAACAGCTAAGGACTTTGCCAATTGCTTGGTTTAGTGCCTTAGTTCTTGAACGAGTGATTGGGCCAGTTGGAATGGCTAAACTCTCCTCAGGTACAAGCTGCTCTGGCTTCAAGTCCCTCCTCGGCCAAGCTGCTCCATTCCATCTTCTTCCTCGGCCAAAAGCTGCTTTTCCTGAACCTCCTCATCCATGATCGCATCATCCCCTCCCTCTTGAAAAGGATTTGACCTCAAATCTGGTTCATCTGCAAGAAAAGGAGATAAGTCAGCAACATTAAAACTAGGACTGATATTGTACTTACCTTGGAGATCAACTCTATAAGAGTTATTGTTGATTCGCTTGGTGACTGTGAAAGGGCCATCAATGCGCGGCATAGCTTGGACTTGCGCTCGGCTGGGAATCTTTCTTTGCGAAGATGAATCCAAACTTGATCTCCAGCCTCAAAGATTAATTCGCGCCGTCCCTTGTTGGCCTTCTTGGCATACTGCCTTGTCTTTTCCTCAATGTTCTTCTTTGCCTGCTCATGTATCTTCTTCACCATCTCAGCTCTCTTCTGTCCATCTGCACTCAATCTTTCACTCAAAGGCAGAGGCATTAAATCCAAAGGTGACAGGGGTTTAAACCCATAAACAATTTCAAAAGGAGAGAACTTAGATGCTGAATGCACAGAATGATTATAAGCAAATTCTATATGAGGCAAGCAATCATCCCAATTCTTAAGATTCTTTTTAAGCAGCACACGCAACAAGGTTCCTAAAGTCCGGTTTACAACCTCAGTTTGACCATCAGTTTGGGGATGACAAGTGGTGGAAAATAAAAGCTTAGTCCCTAACTTAGACCACAAGGTTTTCCAAAAGTAACTAAGGAACTTAGTGTCACGATCAGAAACAATGGTGCGCGGCATGCCATGCAATCTAATGACATCTTTAAAGAACAATGCAGCAACATGAGATGCATCATCAGTTTTATTGCATGCAACAAAATGAGCCATCTTAGAAAATCTATCCACAATCACAAAATGGAATCCTTTCCATGTCTAGTTCTGGGTAAACCAAGAACAAAGTCCATGGAAACATCAGTCCAAGGTTGTGATGGAATAGGGAGAGGAGTATACAAACCGTGGGGTTGGACCTTGGATTTGGCCAACTTACAAGTGGTGCAGCGAGCACATATGCGCTCCACATCTCTAATCATATGTGGCCAATGGAAATGATCTCTCATGATCTGTATAGTCTTTGGCAACTCCAAAATGTCCCATAAGTCCTCCTCCATGTGCTTCCCTGACAAACAAGTCCCTCAAAGAACAATTAGGCACACAAAGGCGGTTCTCATAAAAGAGAAACCCATCCTGTCTCACATATCGACCAGAAGCAAACTTAGAACAAGCTTGATAAATATCAGAAAAATCAGCATCAGAAGCATATAGTTCTTTAATTTGCTCAAAGCCTAAGAGTTTGGCATCAAGAGTAGAGAGAAGTGTATACCGTCTAGACAATGCGTCGGCCACGACATTGTCCTTACCTTTCTTGTACTTGATCACATAGGGAAAGGTTTCTATGAACTCGGCCCAGCGAGCATGCCTCTTGTTGAGCTTCTGTTGGCCTTTGAAGTGCTTGAGTGATTCATGATCAGTGTATGGATAACAAACTCCTTGGGCCATAAGTAATGCTGCCAAGTTTGCAAGGCTCGGACCAGCGCATAGAGCTCCTTTATCATAGGTTGGGTAATTGAGAGTGGCTCCTCCAAGTTTCTCACTGAAGTAGGCAATCGGCTTCTTGTCTTGCATGAGAACAGCTCCTATTCCGATTCCTGAGGCATCACACTCAATTTCAAAAGTTTTAAGAAAGTCAGGCAACATAAGAACAGGTGCATTAGTAAGTCGATCCTTAAGAGTCTGAAATGCTTCCTCCTGTGCCTTCTCCCACTTGAACCAACTTCCTTCTTGATAATCTCAGTCATTGGCGCGGCTATGGTGCTAAAATCCTTAACAAACCGCCGATAGAATCCGGCCAAGCCATGAAAGCTCTGACCTCTCCAACGGTCTTAGGACTAGGCCAATCCCGATAGCTGCGACCTTCTCTTCATCAACCTGTACGCCATCTGCACTCACCACAAAACCTAGAAACACCACATTATTGTACAAAAAGTGCATTTCTTAAAGTTGGCGAACAGCTTCTCCTCCCTAAGAACTTTCATGACCGCGGCAAGATGCTTAAGATGATCATCAAAGGTCCTGCTATAGATCAGATATCATCAAAATAAACAACCACAAAATGACCAATGAAAGACCTAAGGACATGATTCATCAACCGCATGAAAGTACTTGGCGCATTGGTCAAGCCAAATGGCATCACAAGCCACTCATATAGACCATGCTTGGTTTTAAAGGCGGTTTTCCACTCATCACCTTCCTTCATCCGGATTTGGTGATAACCACTCTTAAGATCAATCTTAGAGAAGATGCAAGAGCCATGTAACTCATCTAACATGTCATCAAGTCTAGGAATAGGGTGTCGATACTTTACAGTGATGTTATTGATGGCGCGGCAGTCGACACACATTCTCCAGCTTCCATCCTTCTTAGGAACAAGAAGAACAGGAACAGCACAGGGCTCATGCTCTCTCTAATGTGGCCTTTCTCCATGAGTTCATCCACTTGGCGCTGAAGCTCCTTGGTCTCAACCGGATTGGTTCTGTAAGCCGGCCTGTTTGGTAAAGTGGAGCCGGGGACAAAGTCAATCTGGTGCTCAATACCTCGGACAGGAGGCAAGCCTGGTGGACTATCCTCAGGAAAGACATCGCTAAAGTCCTGCAAAAGTTGAGCTAGTTCACTCGGAATCTCCGGTGGAGTATGAGTCAAGCCAATCAAGTGTTCCTTATATATAAATAAGAGAAAAGGTTTGTTTAAGTTCAAGGAACGTTTAACCTGTTTTGGCTTCACCAGGAAGTTCTTTGGCTTAGGCGGCTTGACTTCTTTCCAGCAAGTTGTAACTGATCTTCATAGACTTCTTGTGGACTCAAAGGAATCAAAGTGGTTTTACGGCCCTCATGAAGAAGAGTGTAGCGGTTTGTGAATCCATCATGGATCACACGCCTATCAGATTGCCAAGGCCGCCCTAAGATGATGTGACCGGCGTCCATGGCAGAATGTCACAAAGGATCTCATCCTTGTAGTTGCCAATGGACAAGGCACAACCACTTGGTTCTTGACACTCATCTCTCCAGTTTCATTCAGCCAGTTAAGCTTATAAGGCCGTGGATGCTTCTTGGTAATAAGTCCCAACTTCTCAACCATAGTTTCACTCGCCACATTGGTACAGCTTCCTCCATCGATATCAAGCTGCACACCTTTGTCTTGGACTAAGCATCGAGTGTGGAAGTTTGCCTTTGACAGGCACAGCCTCATACTCCTCAGGTTCTTCTTCTTCCTCTGGTTTCTCCGGCTCTGGATCCTCCTCGGACTCAATCTCTCCATTGTCGCGGATGATCATCACTTTCTTGTTCAAGCAATCAGAGGCATAATGCCCAAACCCTTGACACCTAAAGCACTTGAGATCACGGGTTCTGGCTGGTGGAGTGCGCTCAGTCCGGCTCCTGTCTTGATTAGTAGCCAGAGGTTTCATTTCTGACTTGGGCGCGAAAGGCTTAGAGTCGCGGTGAAGGTTGGTCGGCGCGGCTCTGTATTGAATCGAGTGGAGCTTCTCTTTTCAATTGTGTCTCGGCCAAGACAGCTTTGTGGAGCATGGACTCTATAGCCACACAATTTTGCATCTCCACGATGTCTTGTATCTCACGGTTCAAGCCTCCAAGGAATCGAGACATAGTGGCCTCGCGGTCTTCAATCACATTGGCGCGCAAGAGCATACCTCCATCTCTTGATAATATTCTTCCACAGACTTGGACCCTGAGTAAGCTTCCTGAGCTTGAGTGTAGCTCACGTTGGTAATGGCCAGGGACAAATCGCTGCCTCATGATGCGCTTCATTTCTTCCCAAGTGGTAATCTCAAAGGCACCACCAATCTCGCGAGCCAAAATGATTTGCTTCCCACCATCTCAGCGCATAATCGTTGAACTCCGAGACGGCTAGCTTGACACGGTTGTCGCCAATGATGTTGTGCAAGTTGAAATTGAACTCGCACTTCTTTTCCCAGTCCATGTACTCGTCTGGATTGTTCCGGCCATGGAACGGTGGAATCTTCATTTTGTAACCTCCCAAGTTTTCCAACATACGGTCTGGCTCATCTCGCGGCCTTCTAGATCGGCGCCGGCTTGAGTGAGAGGAATGACCGCTACCGTAGTAGACATGAGCCTGATCGTCACCGAGACCATGAGATGCCATGGGATCGTTCCTCTTGTCTCCATCGGAAATATGTATCGGATTCCTAGTCTCCTTCCTCTTGCCTTGTTTGATCTGTTCTCTCCGATCAAACTCCTCTGCCATCATCTTTTGATCTGATCTAGCAAGGCCTCACCAACACCGCTTGATCCTTCTTCCTTTTTCCGACGCCATAGTACCTGAAATTTAAACAAACGCGGCAGTCAAAAGTTCAAAGGAAAATTGTTGCAACAATTTTAAAAATCATAGAAACAATTTTAAAAATTATGCAACCACTCAGAGATGACAGATCTATATGAAAATGACCAGAATAAATTGTGGCAAAATTATTAAAATTATGGAATAAATTAAAAATGGCAGTGATGGATGAAAATGATCAAATGATGATGAAACAAGTGATGGACGATGAACAAATGATTTCAAATGATCGAAAAGTAACCTTGATGAGTAAACAAGCATTGGATGTGAAGGTAATGACAATGGAAACAAAGAAACGATCAATAGCACAACAACAAAGCAAAATCATATCAAGATCTACGATTCTCAGATTTAGAAGATGAACAGTCATAAACATAAAATCGAGATCACTTAGCTTCAAGGGCTCTGATACCACCTGATACGCCCCTGGAGTAGATCGGCTTGAAGGCTAAGTGTTTGAGCGGATTGGAACACAAAGGATCCAACGAGGGATAATAGATGAATGGATCGAGTGGCTATACTAGAGAACCCGCGGAAATGGACTCTAACACCACCTTCAACTTGTTGATATTACACACAACAAGTGAAAGGAAATCTGTAGACTTAGATGATATTACGCACAACAAGTGAACAGATGAGTGATCAAACATAAAAGAGAGGTTTTTGATTAAAATGATTGATAAGTTTCAAAAGAGAGATGGACTAGAGTTATAAAGAAAACGAGAGAGAGAAGGAAAGAGATGGGAACAAACTCCAAACAAGTTCCTTGAGCAGGGTAGATTTGTCGCCTCGAGCTCCTTAGCTCTTTTCTGAAGACGCAAATTCTCCAGCTCCTCTTTCTCTTTCACGGCCTCTCTCTCACTCACCATTCTCTTAATTTTTTCAACCATCTTGCTCTTCTCACTCCTCTCGCTCTCAAGATCCTTGAGCAAGCGTGGATTTTCCGGCTCGATATCCTTAATTTGATTTTGACGATGCAACTTCAACATGTCATTCATTTCATCTACAAGCTTAAACCTTTCCTCAAGACTAGCGTAATCTTGTTTCAGATTCTCATGATCCTCCTTCAGAGTCTCATATTTGATCCCAAACAATTCCTCTTGATCAGACATACTGCTTGACGCCGATAACACCTTCTTCTTCCCCGATATGTGACAAAGATCTGATGGTTTTCCAGTCATGGTTTTGACTCCGAAACTTCACCTAGAACAGCACAAACAGCGTCAAGCTTTTTTCTACAACCAATTTTCAAAATTTCACAGATTCTATAGAAACCCTAAAACCCAAATTTGTTCTGAGCTCAACCAGAAAGAAGAACAAGTGAAAAATAATCTCGGATTTCCGTCAATTTCTCCACAAAAACCAAAATGGCAAAGGAACACAAATCTTACTAGTAGAAACCCTAAAACCTATATCTTTCAAAGCTCCCTCTTGAAGAAGAACAAAAAATCAAATCAATAGTCTGGGATATACAGAAATTTCTCCATAATCCGAACCAAAATGTGCTATGAAAGATCAAAAAGAGAGAGAGAAACAAAACCTTACCCAGAATCTTCCTCGACGGTACACATCAAACATACGCAAAAGGGCCAGAAGAGAAAGAGAGCTTTTGCGAAACGGAAGAAGCTAGAGGAGGAAGAATAAAAACACTAGAAGCAGAGAAATGGAGCGGGAATGCGAAAAGACAACGACGCAACCATTGTTATCGATCCATATCGTGGAGGAAGAGATTCTCGCCGGTGAAGAAGACAGAGAAAACGAGAAAACAGATTTTGACGAAATCAGAAAAAACAAAAAATAATAACAAAAGGGTGAAAATATGGCGAGCAATTCTGGAGGCAACATGTGGGTGTGAGCAGTGTAATTTGAGTCGGCTCCAAAATCTCTTCTATGAGAGATCGTTCTCACATGTTTTTATCCCACATAGATAAATAAAGGCGTTTTTTTTTTTTTTTTTGCTTCAGAGTCGAACGATGGTTCTGCGATAGGCCTGCTCGTAGAACATGGGCAATGGGGGCGCTTAATGCAGCACTAAGCTCAAAATTAAATCGAAACTAAATTTAAAACGAGAAGTCAACACTTATTTGATCATTACAAGCGTCGGTGCTGAAGTTCCACGTGGCAGAAGATGATTGGCTCTTCGTTAATGAGAAGAAACAAATCACGTTTTTCTTCTTTATTTTCTCTTTCCATTCTCTCTCCTCCCTCTCTCTACTCTGTTGCTCTTCTATTCGATGTTGACCGGAAGCAATGATCAACTTCTGGTGTGAAATTGGTCCGTTGACGGCACATTAGTTGGATCTGGAATGACGTTGATGGTGCTATTCGAAACAAACGTCCTCTCTGTTATGGTGGAGATTTTATGGGCGGTTTTCACGGAGCTGATGAGCGGAAATGGATCGAACGCGAGATCAACTCCGTCAACGACAATCCGTTAATCGACGTCTCAAGAAACAAAGCGATCCACAGCGGAAACTTCCAGGGAACACGGATCGGAGTCTCGATGGACAACACTCGTCTAGCAATCGAGTCCATCGGAAAACTCATGTTCGCTCAATTCTCCGAGCTAGTGAACGGTTTCTACCACAACGGCCTACCGTCAAACCTAACGGCGTATCTGAGTTTGGATTACGGATTCAAAGAAGCAGAGATCGCGATGGCTATTCCGGTGACGAGCCATGTTTAATCCGCAGAGCAACACAACCAAGACGTGAATTCGCTCGGTTTGATCTCATCTCACAAAACATCTAACACCGTCGACATTCTCATGTCGACGACGTTCATCGTCGCGATTCGCCAAGCTGTTGATCTGAAACATCTCGAGGAGAATCCAAGACAAAACGTGAAAGACACTGCACTTCCATCTCCGGCACTTCTGATCATTTATAGAAAAGGACTTAAAGCAAATAGAAAAGTCACACGTAATAAAACTTGTCGCCACAATTTCAAAGGCAAACACAAATTTGATCAAATATGTGAGAAAATGAGGAGTAAGTCAATTCATGAATAATAACCAAAAATAGGATGAAAAAGAAGGTGTAGGTGGAAACTGACTTCGTTACCATGGTCATCTTCTCTCTCCGTCGTTGTAGTTCCTAATCTCTCTCTAATCTTAGATGATATGTTTATGAATGTCGAAGAAATGATAACTATTCGAGTAGGCATTCGTGATGCATACATGCATCATTGAAAACTGATTTGATTGAGAAATTGAACATGCCTTCTAAGTTTTTATTTCTGTTTATGTTCTCGAATTTTATCTTTAAAATGTTTGTATGTCAAATATGTTTTAAATTTTAATTTATGTAATAAGTTTTATGTTTTCTATATTAATAAAATTAAAATTAATTTATTATCTTAAGCACCCAAAATAAGATATTCCCATTGGAGCTAAAAAAATAGAGGTACTGATATACTTGCATTTTACATAGTTTTAGTACTTCTTTTATGAATCTTTTGCATAGTTTTAACATCCATTAGCATCATATCTCATTCATTTTCTCTTCTTTTGCATACATAGTAGTTTTAGGCTTGCATTTGCATACATATGCACGTTTGATGTCTTAATCTGGTCATTTCGAGCTAATTGGAACATTGCCTATCACTGGAGACTAGTTGAGGAAGGAAAGACTCTGTCTGGCCATGTACGGACCCGCACTCGGTCGAGCTAGTGAGATGCGTCCGAAGTATCTTATCAAATGAAGGGTTTACACTCCGATTCAGCCTCTGACTTCTTCTTGGAAGTTGTGGATAATTGAGTTAGCTTTCGTCTGGAGGTGGTTTCATGTCATTATGACCAGCAGTTCAGAAGATACGACGATTTTGGTTGGACTCGACCCACCAGCTCGACCGGCCAGTTTCCAACTCGATCGAGCTGCTTTTCCAGGAGTCAAAGTCAAACCCGAAAAATGTTGCTTCCCTTTGACTCCCCTTTGACCCTAAACCTAGTTTGCTTTACTATAAATGGTATTGAGCCACGAATTAAACACAGCTTTGGCTCAACATTTATTTAATCTTGTATTTGCATTTCCCTTTTTACCTTTTAGCCTCTCTTTGTGTTCTTGAGCTCTTGCTCATTGAATCTTAGATCTAGGCTTTATTATTGTATTTCTGCACTTCTCTATTTCAATAAAAGTTGTTCTATATCATCTCCTCTATCTTTTGATGTTTCATTCATTGCATTTGGTTGTTTATTTCACCATGATTAGTGAGTAGTTACATTTAGGGTTTAAGATGGGCTAGATTAGAGGATTCTTATGCTTAATCTCTATTGCTTAAGTTCATTATCTAGAAATCTCTCTCTTTTGGACAAACCTTAAGGCTACATGACCACTACCCCTGGCTTGTACACTACAAGAAAACATCGATTTAGCCACTACATTTTGCGACTCAACAATGAGTCGCCAAATATTGTTACTTATTTGTGACTAATTTAAGACTCGGTTACTACTTCACGATATTAGTCGCAAATAAGTCGCAATTGTGCTACCGCAAAGACCCGTGGTTCGGTAGTCGCAAAATTGCGACCTTTTTGCGACTAATCTAGAAATATATGAGTCGCAAAAGCGTAGCTAATTAATCACCTTTTTGCGATGCCAAAGTCAGTCGCAAAATTGTAGTCGCATAATGTGGTCGCTAACTACAGTAGTCGCATAAGAGTGACTAAGGTTGCTACTTGTTTGCGACTACGTATTGTAGTGCAATACTTGTTTCACTACTACATAGTAATCAAAATTTTGTTGAAATTATAGGGTTTTGAATATGATACTTCACAATTTTCATTATTTATCTTGAAATCATATTGATTTGGTTCTAAGTTATTGGAATCTTTTTCTAAGTATTTCAATAATTCAATTTCTACTCAATTAATAATAGATTACACATATTGTGCAATCAAAGTTAGCAAAAATATCATTTAGGGGTTATTTAGGGTATGTGGAAAACCAAATTCATAATAAATAACTCAAAGTAGTCGCTAATTCGTAGCACAAGTGCGACTGATGTGCGACTCCTGTCGAAAATATATTAAAAAACCCGTCTTTAGTCGCAAATAAGTCACATAGTTTTAACTTTTTGCGACTCATTTGCGACATCAGTTCATTTTTCCATCTCTAAAAGGTTTATGTTATTAAGTTTTTGTAAAATAAGATGCCAATAGTGCAATACTTGTTTCACTACTACATAGTAATCAAAATTTGTTGAAATTATAGGGTTTTGAATATGATACTTCACAATTTTCATTATTTATCTTGAAATCATATTGATTTGGTTCTAAGTTATTGGAATCTTGTTCTAAGTATTTCAATAATTCAATTTCTACTCAATTAATAATAGATTACACATATTGTGCAACCAAAGTTAGCAAAGATATCATTTAGGGGTTATTTAGGGTATGTGGAAAAACAAATTCATAATAAATAACTCAAAGTAGTCGCTAATTCGTAGCACAAGTGCGACTAATGTGCAACTCCCGTCAAAAATATATTAAAAAACCCGTCTTTAGTCGCAAAATAAATCGCATAGTTTTAACTTTTTGCGACTCATTTGCGACTTCAGTTCATTTTTCCGTCTCTAAGGTTTATGTTATTACGTTTTTGTAAAATAAGATGCCAATAGTGCAATACTTGTTTCACTACTACATAGTAATCAAAATTTGTTGAAATTATAGGGTTTTGAATATGATACTTCACAATTTTCATTATTTATGCAACCAAAGTTAGCAAAGATATCATTTAGGGGTTATTTAGGGTATGTGGATAACCAAATTCATAATAAATAACTTAAAGTAGTCGCTAATTTGTAGCACAAGTGCGACTGATTTGCGACTACCGTCGAAAATATATTAAAAAACCCGTCTTTAGTCGCAAATAAGTCACATAGTTTTAACTTTTTGCGACTCATTTGCGACTTCCTGTTTAACTTGTCGTCGCAAAGTCGTCGCCAAAGTTGGCGCTTCATATTTCCGAAAATTCACCAATTATTTTCAATTTGCCGGCTGAAACCCACAAATTTTTTTTCCTCTATCTCACAAAACCCTTCACCGCTTCATTTCTTTCTCTCTCTCTCTCTCTCTCTCTCTCTCTCTCTCTCTCTCTCTCGAAATCGATATGTTGCATGTCTCTAATCCCGACTCCTTTCAACTTCTCGATCGATCCGTTCTCTTTCTCCATCTCGTCGCTTTCTCTCTATCCTCTCAATCTCTCCTAAACCTCTCTCGATTGATCTCACCCTCTCAATCTCTACCTTTCGTTTTTCCAATTTCTTGTTTTTTCCCCCAAATTCGACAAATCTCTCATTCTCTCTAAAATGGCCGGCTCCGGTAAATCTCAAAAGGGTCGTGGTGGCATAAGCGGCGGGATGGGGTCGTCGTCTGGAAGAGCTTCTTCTCACACCTCGAACAGTTCTACCCCGACTTCAAATCGCCGGCCCCTTCCTATTCAATACGCTCACAATCAAAGCCCTATTCCGGAGACAATCACACCGCGTGGCTCGACTCTTTCTCCACAGCCGTCGCTCCGTGGCTCGGCTTCACAGTCACAGCCGATCCGTCCCCAACCGCTTCGTCCACCGCCGTACGTTCCACCACAGTGGACTCCACCACCGTACAATCCACCGCCTGGCAGTCTAGAGACAGAAGCTGAACCAACGGAGCACCAATTCCCAGAAAAGCCTCAACCACCACCACATCAAGATCCACCAATGAGTATCCACGACTTGCTGCGAACACCAGGTCGTGCAGATTATTTAACCATCTTGGATCCTCTTCCAACCGCAAACACAATATGGCAATCGCTAATAAGTTTTCTTTTTTAAATTTCTTTGCTTCATTGTGTGTTCTTCTCATAACTCAACTGAAATGGCTTTGTGTTTTATTCTCATATTGTAGGTTTGATCGGGATAATGGGAAATTGGTTCGCAAAATATCGAAGCTTTTGAAAAGCAAGTTCGATGGTCCATACTACTGATATACCTCTATTTTACATGCTTTTTATGCTATTTTACTATGGTTTTCTAGTGGATTCTTGTGTTAAAAGTTAGTTTTTATGGATTTATATTGCAAAGAGTCATTCTAGGTAAAAAGGTGCATTATGGAGCAAAACAGAGGATTTGGATTTCAAACTAGTTCAATGCCACTGCATCAACTTTGGATGGAGCTAAAAAACGATCTACTCAATGGATTTCATCAAGACCGGTTCCCTGCGTGCTTTGATTGAGTTAACTTTCCAACTGGAACGGCCTCATTTGGATGAGTAGAAAAGGAGTTATAGCCAAAAGAGTGAAGACTGTCAAAAGCAGCTCTATCGAGAATCAGCGCTCAAACCACGCAGAACGGCTGGCCGAGAAACGAACGTCCCGCGCTTGGCCAAAACCGATTCCGTCCGTCTGAAGTCTCGGCAAAAACTCATTTCATCCGCCCGACCGAACGTCACGACCCGGGAAGCTATGTCCCGCGGTCGGCCACGCCACAACCGCCCACGCCGCGCCGCGCACGACCATGCTGCGCGAGCCGGGGAGTAAAGCCTCGCGGCCGCGCAAGCTAACTCGCGTACCACGGCCGATGGCGCCGTCCGAGCCGGGAAGCTACGTCCCGCGTCCGACCGAGAAAAGCATCGGCCAATCCATTTCCCGTCCGACCGTCCCGGCCGATCAAGGAACCATCCGGCCACAACCGTTCTGATCACGACCACAACCCGATCATCCGGCCGACCATCCCGACCGACCATCTGAACGCCGCGGTCGACCCGAAGCCGTTTTTGAAGCCCAATCCGCACAATTCAAGCCCAAAGCTGGCGCCGACTTAGCAAGATTAGGTCTAGCCGCTTTTTCATACTTAGTGCATTATAAATACTTCTTTTTAGCCTTGTGATATCACCATATTTTACATGATTTTACTATATAATTACTTATGTTTTCAAACGGTTTTTGCAAGATTCTTTGCCTTTAGAGGTAGTTTTCTTGTATTTGTGGGATTTGAAGTCTTTGTAGGAGAAATAATCAAAAAGGATGCAAAAAGGAGCAAAAGAGCCCTAAATCAAGATCCATGCAAGTTTCCAAGTCAAGAAGACCATTTTATCTCCAAGTGTTAGTTCTCGCTTGCGCGCAGAACGAAGCTTCGGAAGTTTGGCCGCGCGCGGAGGAGTTCCCGACGTCCAAAAGTTACGATCTTGATATGGAAAGATAGATACTTGAGTCATGCATCACGTCGAAGTGGAATGAAGCCATTTGGATCAACTATGAGGCCTAGACTTATTTTCTACCGAGACATGTCCGGTAAGCGAGAAACGAAGCCCATGGAGGATTTGGAGTGTCTAATGGCCCGAGCAGCAGCGCCAAAGGCCTTGATCGAATAGAGAAGAGGCCTGGCTAATGTTTGGAGCTTTCCTTGGTACAATGTCGGCCCATACACGACGTGGAGAAGAAGGCTTTGCTCGCGGGAAACTTTCCTTTTCCGGCA